GTGCATCTCAGGACTTGGATTGAAGGTTCAGATCTACAACCATGACTCATCGGTGATGTGCGGGTATCGTTGCAGCAGGCACAACTGTCTTGGTGGCATCGAGCAGGCTATGTAGTTAAGTTAAGTAAGGTGTTAGTGGAGAACTTTTATGGTGTGTGGCAAGACTTGTGTTGGGAACTTGTTCATATTTTGGCCAGGAGTAGCACCCTGGCATGGAGCAAGGAAGGAGAATGCCCCTGCTCTTAATCTAGATTTATGCTATCTAGTTAAGTAGTTTGTTGTCATTTACTTGCTTGCTGTGTTAAGTTTGCTATCATTACATTGCTTGTTTTGTTTGATCTTGCTGTTGTGCTGTTGCTGTTGTACTGATCATGTGTGGTGGTAAGGCCACCACATTTGAATGGGTGAGCAGAACACAAACGCTGTTTGCAACCAAACAGCTGGAGTTTGCATCTGCTCACACCCTAAGCACAAATGCGGGCAACCAAACAGCAGTGGGGGTAAGAGCCTCTCGATGCGATGCAGGCAACCAAACAGGTTGCATCTACTGCATATGAGACTGCATTTCAGCAACCAGACTGGCTAGAGATGGACATGCAACTACTGTTGCAAACTGCAACCAAACACGCCCTTTGTGTTTCGTCTAAGCCTATTACATGATATTTCATGGTATGTGATTATAGGCCTTTTCCTAGTCAATGAACACCATATAAAGGTCTTTATTTTGCTCACTGTATCTCTTTATAAGTTATCATATCAAGAAAAATGGCTTCCATGACCGACCTCCCAAGCATGAAACCATGCTGATTTTTGGCCATGCTTGTTATTATTTTGAAGGGGCGCTCGTCTCCTTTAACTTCATTGTATGGCTCGTCTGTTTAATTCCACTGTAACTGATACAACTTTAAACACTCTCCTTCTTCATGAAGATTGGTACTAATATACTACGTCTTTATTCTTCTGTCATTTTGTTTGCCCAAAAAACGATATTGAAAAGTTTAGTTAGCCATACTATCGCTACGTCTTCAGACCCACCTCAATAAGGTTACAATCAAGGCTCGTCGCCTTGTTTCATTATTTTTAAAGTCTTCATGACCTTAGACTCTTGGATTCGTCGCATAAAATGTCTGTTGATATCATTAAAGGAGTTTGTCGAGTTCAATGGTAGAGCTCCGATTCTCTCCATCGACTAGTTTGACGTGGTTTAAAAATGAACCCTGACCGAGACCTCCGATATTTTACGGGTAGAAAACCCACTTCCAGTTGACGACCGAGTGACCTTCCACATGATTGGTCGCCATCATCGCTCTTCTAAAAAAACATGCGCGGATTTAATGATTAGCCCATTTATGGAGATTTTTTTTTGCTAAATACGATTTGTTTGGCCGCACCCTGGCAGCATAGCATGTGACGGAGTGAGCTTTGGTACGGAATTTCCTATTCGCCGCTTATTGCGGCAAGTTGTCGCACCTTCGCACAGGGCGCAGCTCACCCTGGGCCGGCCCATTTTCGGTTATTTCCCTTCTCGAGAGATCAAAAACAGCAAAACGCGAGATTAAAAATGGAGGAAAGTATCGTTTCCCCCCTCAAATCCTTTATGATGGATCAAATCCCCCCTCAAATCTAAAACCGGATTAATCACCCCCTCAAATCTGTAATACCAGATCAATCAGGCCCCGAGCGGTTTTGAACAAGATTTTAGGTGGTTTTGATAGGAACTGCAAGATTTCTAACTTGTCGGCGACCCGACGACGTGGAAATTTTCTAGGATCTCGGCACCGGCGACGTGCTCCCCCGGCCGACCCCTTATTCTAGGGGAATCTGGCTCAGAAGGATCGCTGACGCGGACTTCGGCTCGACGCACATGTTCGGGAGGCGAGCTCCCCGAGGAGGAAGACAGCCATATGCAAAACCTGCGCGCTGACAGAGTTGAAGAGGACCTCCACGAAGCCATTGATCAGGGCGGCCGCCTCGCGCCAGAGTCGCCCGATCCTGCAGGCGCATGTTTTATGCATGCTTGATGACCAGGCAATCTGAACCAGTTACATATGCAGTGCAGACATGATCAATCAGTCTAATTTCCTGATTATGCAACTCACATCGGGCAGCACAGCACGGGATAGGATTCCCAACATTCTTCTCAAGTAACCTGACAGTCTTAACATGTGTACATACTTCAGTCCAATCCACAAGCGATTGCAGCACACCCACCAATTCAGGTCCTATTAAAAAAATCAGTTCAACTAGATTCCCAGCACAAGTGATTTCTTCAGATTAACACACATGCTCGTGCACCAGTTGTTTGGACAGGGCTGCCATTGTCACGGACGAGGACTTGGAAGACGCAACCTGAACCGGCTATGGAGGTTGTGCACGGCGATCCAATTGGAGGAGCATGATATGGCTCACACTGGCCGACGACTATGCTGCGGCTGACCCCGATATGGCTCACACCGGCCGTCTACTTCCTCACCAACACGCAAGCACAGACCATGTTCGTGCAGCAGGGCACGAAGACGGACTCCCACATCACGGGCAGCGCCGCCGACGTCCATCGAGACGGTGCTCGTCGCCACCTGCGTCACGATCATAACAGGGCCGTCGCATCATCCGTGGCGTTCGCGCCGCTGCGGCTCATGGGGATCGGGCACGCGACGGCGACTGGCACAGTGGCCACCATGGCCGCGTGCGCCGAGACGCGCAGGCTGCAGATGACGGCACAAATGGGCATAGCGTGGCTACTGCTGCAGTACGTCATGATGGACACGTGAAGAATGAGCTGGTAGCAAAGTCCTCGACGGGCTCGCTCGCCGCCACCCGACAAGTTCGAAATCGTGCAATTCTTCTCCAAAACCACCTAAAATCCTGCTCAAAACCACTCGGGGCCTGATTGATCCGGTATTACAGATTTGAGGGGGTGATTAATCCGATTTTAGACTTGAGGGGGGATTTGATCCATCATAAAGTA